ACGTATTTATGAGCAAAAAACAACTTACAAAAAACAACTTCGCTAATGCACTAGTCATACATAGAATAAATTCAACCATAATTTTGATTTTAAAACTGCTACACTCATAAAAAAAGAATAACTCACTCAGAAGGAAAATTCTAAAGTGTGCCGCCATAGAAAATTACCCAAATATTAATCTACGCCCAGGTTTTTCCCCATTTCACCTTTCTTAACAAAATTACTGCTTTTACAAACAAATATACACAACAGATTCATAAAATCAAAAGAAAATAGTTGAATACATCAACACACATATAATGACAATATTCTCCACACGTGACAAATACTGACGGTATTTTCAGTTAAAAATATGAAAATAGCGATTTTCTACATTCCAGTTGCTAGGTACATTCTGTTTTTTCTTTTTATTAGTTACCTTGTTCAATTAATTTCATTTTCGTATTTTGCTTTGATAAAGTCCACATTGGACGAAACGCGTCAGCAATTAATAGTTTTCCTATTGTCATTTTTATTAATATATATATATGTGTGTGTGTGTGTGTGTAAACCTATTTAAACTCGGTGGGTGAAAAAACCTGGGTAGCATAATTTTCAAACAAATTGGCGTCCGTGAAAAAAATTTGGAAATAAAAAAACAGATCGTACCAGAAGCCTCCGAACAGGGCGAAAGAAATCGTAGAGAACCTTAAATTTCTGGTATAAAGAAAAAAAAACAACGAGCAATAAGTTAAAACGAAGAGTGCTCAATACACTAAGCAGAGCAAAAGTAAAACAAATAAATCCTAATGAGCCAGGTACTACCTACCTAGTTTTCACCACATGGGATTATATATATACATATATATATATATATATATATATATATATATATATATATATATATATATGAGCGTACGCATTTAAAAAAATTAGTAATGATAATATTCTACAATTGGATTCACTTGAGTATTTTTTGTTTCTATCTAATTGTCGTAACGCACTGAAAGGTAGGAATCAACAGTTTAAAAGATGAAAACAGTGAAAACGATGCAATAATGTCGATCTGAAAATATGCAATCTGATTTTTCAGAATAAAAAAAGAATTTTGATGTTTACTTACAGATAGCCCCGCGAAAATCTGAAAATAATAAAAAAATAAACATGATAAAATAAATAAAATAAAATAAATGACAGATAATAAAATCATTAAATAAATAAAAGTGGTATTGTATCAGATAATAAAATAATTTAATAAATATGAAAACTTAAATGTAAATCACTTCAAGGTTCCGCCTAAAATATATCCGCTGATAGATAGATAGTCAGATAGATAGTTATGAACAGAGTTGAATAGAGAGAGATAGTAAAATAGAGAAATATATGCTGTTATCATATATATATATATATATATATATATATATATATATATATATATATATATATATATATATATATGTATGTATGTATGTGTGTGTGTTTTTTGTGATGGACTCTCCTGTCATTTTCGACGTATGAGTGTCTTTCAGTTCACTTTTTATGTTTATGTCCGATGATGTCCTAAATGTCGAAACGCGCCATACGAACACATTTCCCACCATATATATATATATATATATATATATATATATATATATATAATTTATAATTATAGGTTATAGGTGCAATTATAATTTATAAATTCATGAATCATTCATACAATAAAACAAATAGAGAGGTTAATGATTTAAATGGTGAGAATACATCTTCGCAAACAATATCAATAAGATACACCAACCCCGAACCTGTATATGAATGATATGATCCCTGTTTATAAATTCCAGTTTCATAAGGTCTTTTAATTTTTACAAGCTTTCGTCTGTTCCTACAGACATCCTCAGGTATGGAAATAGATTTGTTCTTGTTTTTACTTCTCGGTAATAAGACAACAACGAAAATAGAGATGTAATCCGAAAAAAATGCTATGGGAAATGTGTTATTGTTTTGAAATGTGCGGTCGCAACGTTGAGTTTGAATTTAAATTGTAAGGTTGTGCGTTTTTGTACAAATATAGTAATAAGAGAATTCTTTTTTACTGGTAGGTTTTCCGTCAATGTGGCATGAACTATATTGTTCAATAATTACAGTAATGTCACACTTATTATCTGAAAGTTGCACGTTGGATCAGTTATTTTAATTTCAATTATAGGTGCAATTATAATTTATAAATTCATGAATCATTCATACAATAAAACAAATTCTTATTTATATATATATATATATTAATTATTATTATTAAGCTTGTAAAAATTAAAAGACCTTATGAAACTGGAATTTATAAACAGGGATCATATCATTCATATACAGGTTCAGGGTTGGTGTATCTTATTGATATTGTTTGCGAAGATGTATTCTCGCCATTTAAATCATTAACCTCTCTTTTTGTTTTATTGTATGAATGATTCATGAATTTATAAATTATAATTGCACCTATAATTGAAATTAATATATATATATATAATAATAATAATAATAATAATATATATATATGTTCATGATGGACACTCCCGACGTTTTCGATGTATGAGTCTCTTTCAGTTCGGCAATATACACAGAAATGTTAAAATCCTGAATGCAAACTTGCCCTACACCCCATAACATCACAAATCCCTCCTCCTGTATATAACTGAGACTCTAAAAAACTAATCCAACCATACTTCTCTAAGTGCTAGCGTTAACGTAATTCCCGTGAATAATACGCAGTTTTTTCTAAAAAAAAAAAAAAGCAAATTTAAGGGTGCGTATTAGGCGCAGCAACAAAAATTCTTTAAAAAATTGCCGTTTCATAAGTCGATTTCAATTGCAAAATGACTACTCACCACAAACATACGACAATTTGACACTAACATTCGGCGATTGTGACCCCATAAGGATGTCAAATACAATCATATGTAACTAACAATGCTTACAAATGTAAAATAAAATAAGAATTATCATAAAACTAAATTAGATTATTATTATTCAATTTTATTTATTATTTTAAAATAAGATTAGGAAACGTTGGTCATAATGAAATTGGAGCGGTACAATTTATAGGGTTTGATTACCAAATAAGGGTGCGTATTATGCGTGAGTAGAAGCATTTTTCCACACTTTCAGCACTATTTTAAGGGTGCGTATTATGGATTAAGGCGTATTATAAATGGGGAATTACGGTAGTTCCACAATCGATTTCCTTCACATATAATAGTTCGAATATTATCAAATAAATAATCATAATTATAGTTGCTTTGTAAATAAGGTTTATTTTTTAGTCAATGGCTGAACAGTCAAATATATAAGTAAATTTAATAAGTATTTTGTAATACTTACGTCCTTTCCAAGAAGGTTCTGTAGCTAAAAAAAAAGAAAAAAATATTCAAATAAATTTCGAGAAGAATTTAAAATTTAACTACTTATAAAAATGTGACTGCAGGCGAAAAGGCATATATTTTGATGATTTTCATGATTCAAACAAGCGCTATATACACAAAACGAAAGCTGTTTTCAAGAAGGAAAAAAAAATGAAAAGAATATCCATAAAATGTATTTGTTTATTGTCTGACTTTATGGAGGTAAGGGTGTTCCAATAGCTTGGACCGATTTTAAATGTAAATTAAGTTTAAGCGTCTAATGTTTTTTTTTCGTTTTCTTTCAAATTAAACAACTTAGGTCTTTGGCAATTTCAATCATGGAAAGATTAACAATTAAACAACCTGTTAAAATTTGAAGAGTGAAGTGGAACAATTAGAAAAAAAAGGCATATATTTTGATGATTTTCATGATTTAAACAAGCGCTATATACACAAAACGAAAGCTGTTTTCAAGAAGGAAAAAAAAATGAAAAGAATATCCATAAAATGTATTTGTTTATTGTCTGACTTTATGGAGGTAAGGGTGTTCCAATAGCTTGGACCGATTTTAAATGTAAATTAAGTTTAAGCGTCTAATGTTTTTTTTTTCGTTTTCTTTCAAATTAAACAACTTAGGTCTTTGGCAATTTCAATCATGGAAAGATTAACAATTAAACAACCTGTTAAAATTTGAAGAGTGAAGTGGAACAATTAGAAAAAAAAAGGCATATATTTTGATGATTTTCATGATTTAAACAAGCAATGTATACAAATAACGAAAGCTGTTTTCAAGAACGAAAAAATGAAAAAATATCCATAAAAATGTATTTGTTTGTCTGACTTTATGGAGGTAAGGGTGTTCCAATAGCTTGGACCGATTTTAAATGTAAATTAAGTTTAAGCGTCTAATGTTTTTTTTTCGTTTTCTTTCAAATTAAACAACTTAGGTCTTTGGCAATTTCAATCATGGAAAGATTAACAATTAAACAACCTGTTAAAATTTGAAGAGTGAAGTGGAACAATTAGAAAAAAAGGCATATATTTTGATGATTTTCATGATTTAAACAAGCAATGTATACAAATAACGAAAGCTGTTTTCAAGAACGAAAAAAATGAAAAAATATCCATAAAAATGTATTTGTTTGTCTGACTTTATGGAGGTAAGGGTGTTCCAATAGCTTGGACCGATTTTAAATGTAAATTAAGTTTAAGCGTCTAATGTTTTTTTTTCGTTTTCTTTCAAATTAAACAACTTAGGTCTTTGGCAATTTCAATCATGGAAAGATTAACAATTAAACAACCTGTTAAAATTTGAAGAGTGAAGTGGAACAATTAGAAAAAAAAGGCATATATTTTGATGATTTTCATGATTTAAACAAGCAATGTATACAAATAACGAAAGCTGTTTTCAAGAACGAAAAAAATGAAAAAATATCCATAAAAATGTATTTATTTGTCTGACTTAATGGAGGTAAGGGTGTTCCAATAACTTGGACCGAAATAATTTTTTCTTTTTCTTTCAGGTTTAACAACTTGTGGAGGAAAGATCAAGGGGTAAGCCAAGAAGATTCTTTACCAATCACCTCAATTTCTTTCTTATTCCAGTGCCGTCTATGAGTAGATCAATATAAAAGGTCATTCACAGTGATTAAAAAGGAAGCTCTGGAAAGCCATCATCATCTACGTATTGAAAGAATATAGCATTAAAAAACAACAGATATTTACTACTGAATGTCGTAAAATGAACTAAACTTTCTGTTAAGGAGGGTAATGGATAACGAGGCGAGTTAATTTGGCCAGCTTTATGAAATTGAATATTGTTTTCGATCCTCACAGTAACAAATTTCTGTCAAAATGGGTTGAAAGCAAGACAGTCTTGTAATTCCTGATTAACTATACTGAATACATATATACATATATAAATGGTGTTCCAATAACTTGGACCGATTTTAAATGTGGATTAAGTTTAAGCGTCTAATGATTTTTTTTCTTTTTCTTTCAGATTTAACAACTTAAGCCTTTGGCAATTTCAACCATGGAAAGATTCACAGTCAAACAACGTTTTAAAGTTATCAAAGCCTATTACGAAAATGGACGTTCAAACAGAAATGCATTTCACGCACTTCGCGATGTTTTGGTCAACATAATCAACCAACCGAGAATGCAATTGGAAACGATGTAACGTTTTTTGAACCTGGCCAGCATGCGGTGGTAAAAATATATTTGCTTTTTGACGAAGATCAAAGTGTAATATCTGTTCTTATAAGTTTAATTAGATTCTCCTCATTCTCCCCACTTCTATATTCTTTTTTGTCTTTCACTGAAACCAAGTAGTATCTTTTGAACGATCAAAACCGAATAGTCCATTATTTATGATATCTTGGCAGTGCGTAATGGTCGTGCAAACTGAAGAAGAAAGGTAAAAGCACAATTATTATTGATATGTCCCGGAAAGGGATATATTGGAACGAAGTAGCTAAGTGGTTTTGGCTACTATAACCAAGTAGAATATGGTAGCAGTAATCGACTGGTACGCGTCCTAGTCGCAGGTAAGAAGTGTAGATCAATGGCGTAGTCCAATGGGCGTCGTTATAGAGTTAGCTCTCAGACTAAGACACTTTTGACTCTGTGGTACCTACACGTCCGTCGGTATTTATGACGGACACCAGCCAATCATATTCCAGTGAGCGGGGAACACAGGTGTATGCATATTCCATTATATCAATTATTGTCACTTCCATTGCTATAAATACGAGATATTATATTCGAGCCACCCACCCCGGGTCTAAATTCTGTCAATATTAGTTAAAAAAGCAAATAATATATTATTTACTTACTTGTTGTAGTTGTCGGAGGCAAAGTAGCTGCAAAGAAAAATTAAAATAGGATTCATAAAAATTCAATTTAAATACATACACAGATATATTTTATATATAAAATTTGATCTTCAAAAAAATTTAAATGCAATGCCAATCATTATCTTCTGTATATATATATATATATATATATATATATATATATATATATATATATATATATATTGTATGTATTTAGGCCGCATTTTTTCATTGATGCATGTTTTATTAAATAATATAGACAAGTTTTGTCGATTTATTTTATGTAAATTCTTTTCATATCGTCTGATAAGCTTAATAACGTTATCATTAAACGAAGAGAAAAAATCACAATATTGATACATATTTTTAAATCCTATCTAAACTTTCGGCTTACATAAGCCATTATCAAAGATGACAATTACATTACAATATATTAAGTAATACACGGACAAGACAGTGATGATAGTGTGTTTCTGTTTACATGGAAGATTTCCAAGCAACGACAAACTCGTGCATGCAAGACGCTAGAAGCGAAAATCGCACCGCTAGTGTAGTATATGATAAAATTAATTTTTTTTGCTAGGATATGTTGTAGATATATTAGTATTTATTATTTTTTTTAGTATATTTTCATCTTGTTTATAATTAGTATGCATTTGATTACGATATAGGAGATTAATATGTTTGAGATTAGTAGAAGCAGTATTATGTATTATTTGTTTAGTATTGAGATTTCTAAGAAAGCATCTTATTTGTTCATCAACTATATAGTTTGGAAAGCTATTATTAATAAGTGTCTGTTTTATATTCTTTAGTTCACTGTAAAATACATACACAGTCAACGACGAAATTATTCTACACTTTAAAATATTTTGTGGATTTGTTTTTATTTTATTTTTTCATATTATTGCTACACGCGTTTCCGGTCTCGTGACCTTCTTCCGGCAAATAAAAGGAATTAATTTTTAAAAGAATAAGTTTTCCTTTTGTTCTTTTAATGTTTTATTCTTCATTTTCTGTACTTGTAGCGAGCATTGAGCTCATTTTTGGACCGTTGGCCAAAGTTAATTTTCTGCCTCAGTGATAATAAAATCATTTGGCTTGGTCTTAGTGGTGGTGGTGGTGATGATAGATGTGTTGATGAGAGATGTTTTGCTATCCTTACGTTATCCTTGAGATTGGCAAATCTATTTCCATTTTCGTGTATCATGTGTAGGAAAAATATAAAGAATAAAATATAATATATACACTAAAACAAATCCACATAATAAAATATTTTTGCGGTTTTTCTCTTTTTTTAATATATATATATATATATATATATATATATATATATAAAAGTGAACATAGAAGTCAACACTTAGAGGCGACAGTCTGTTTCATGCTATATGCAATCGTCAGGCCACATATGCTGTTATTTTCTCGGCTATTTATATATATACGGGTTAGTGGTGCATTGTGGGTATTCTATTATGGCGGTTATTTTACCGGAAGTAGTTTGTTTATTTATTTGGGTCAAATTATATTGCTCGTTTTTATTTTTTTGTTTCTTATTTTATTTATTTATTTATTAACGTAGTAAAATTTTGTTTATATCACTTATTTAACAGTTTTGTTTTGGTTTGAGAATTTAATTGAAGCTATTTGTTCAATTTTGGGGTAGAGCACATTTATAACACAGTATGGACATGGAAAAATTTAATCTCGACTACTCCCTAAAAAACATACCCATCCCATACTATATATAAACTAAAATTAATTGAAAAAATAGAAAGTTTCCTAAAAAGAATGAAATGGAAAGTCCACTTTTTAAACCTGGACCTTCACAATAACAACACACTTAAGAAGGAAAAATACGGCTTCAAAACAAAGAAATGCCCCCCACAACAAAAAAAAATTAGACGATTTCGAGAAAGACTTAACTGACCTAGTTAGAAACATAAAATTCCATAAAAAACAAGATGCATTCCAAAAAAAACTAAAAGCAGATGTAACTAAAATAAACAATTCAGCAAGTGTATTTATCGCTGCTGACAAAACGAGAAATTTATACAAACTAAGCCCTCCTACACACAATAAATTACTCAAGAACAACATAACCAAAACATACAAAAAGGCACCCCAAACAACAGAACACGATATCAATAAGGAATCTAAAACAATCGCCCCAAAATGAGACCTAGATGACTGAATAAATTGTATTAGCAAGGCACGAGCCTTTATCACACTAAAAGACCATAAAGAAAATTTCAAAACTAATCCTGCATGTAGACTCATAAACCCAGCCAAAAGCGAACTAGGTAAAATAAGTAAAACAATACTAGAAAGAATTAATTCTGAACTTAGGAAGAAATTAGGAGTAAACCAGTGGAAAAATACGAAAACAACTATTGACTGGTTCCACAACATAAATAACAAACAAAATTGCCAATTCCTACAATTAGACATAAAAGAATTTTACCCATCCATAACAGAACGTATGCTAGATGAGGCCATCAACTTAGCTCAGGAACAAATAATAATAAAACCAAGCGAAATCAACATCATTAAGCACTCCTGTAAATCATTATTATTCCACAATGAAGAAGCATGGATAAAGAAAGATGGGATATTTGACACTACAACGGGAAGCTTTGACGGTGCAGAGGCATGCAAAATCATAGGCATTTACTTACTACACGAACTGAGCAAAATAATAGACAAAAATGACACAGGACTCTACAGGGACGACGGTCACATAATCTTAAGAAACTGTAACAAACAAAACACAGACAAAACTAGAAAAGCAATAATAAAGATTTTTAAAAATAACGGATTCGACATAGATATAAAAACTAACCTAAACGAAGTAGATTTCCTAGATGTTACCTTCAACCTAAGAGAAGGCACATATAAACCATACAGAAAACCTAATGATAAACCACTCTACATACACACATCTTCCAACCATCCGCCTTCTATAATCAAACAGGTACCAAAATCGATTAACCGCAGGCTCTCCGACAATTCCTCCATTGAATCCCTATTTAACAAAGCTAAGAAAAGACTATGAAACGGCCCTAAAAGATAGCGGATTCCCAGCAATACTCACATACTCACCACAGAATACAAAAAAGGCCAACAGAAGAAGAAATATCACTGTACAGCAAGAACGTAAAAACAAACGTAGGAAAAATATTCTTCAAACTCTTAAACACTTCCCAGAATCAAGCACCTTACACAAGATATTCAACAAAAACACAGTAAAAATCAGCTACAGCTGCACCGAGAGCATGGCACAAATAATAAAAAAGCACAATAGGAAAATTATCAACAAACCACACGAACAAATTAAACCCACGTGCAACTGCAGAATAAAGAACGAATGTCCCTTAAATGGTAATTGTTTACAAAACAACGTAATATACAACGCCACGATAAAAATCACCAGATAATGAAGAAAAAGTATACATAGGAGTAACTGAAGGACCCTGGAAGCAAAGAAATTATACACACAAAACATATTTCACAAATAGTAAATATGCGAACAGTACAATGCTTTCTAAGTATATCTGGGAAATTAAAAACAAAACGCACATCGCACCAAAAATATCTTTGAAGATAAGGAAAAAGTAATCAGCCTACAACAATCAATCAAAAACTTGCAAACTTTGCTTGGAGGAAAAAATAGCTATCATTACTTTCCCCGACCAAAATAAATTATTAAATAAAAGATCCGAGCTCATCTCAAAATGCAGGCATGAAAATAAATTTTTACTACGTAACCTAAAAAATGAAAAACAGAAAAAATAAAATAAAAACAAATAAATACACTATATAAAAAAAAATAATAATAAAAAAAATAAAAATAAAATAAAATATAAATAAATAAATAAATACTATGTTGCTTAAAAACTGAAAACCGAAAAGAGAAAATATACAAATAAACTGACCTAAATTCGTCCAAGTAAATAAATAGACAAACCAATCCAAATTAAAACCTGTTCCCGCCAAAATAATAGTTAGAATGAACTACAACAATCAACCCCAAAATTGAACAAATAGCTTTAATTAAATTCTCAAACCAAAACAAAACTGTTAAATAAATGATATAAACAAAATTTTACTACGTTAATAAATAAATAAATAAAATAAGAAACAAAAAAATAAAAACGAGCAATATAATTTGACCCAAATAAATAAACAAACGACTTCCGGTAAAATAACCGCCATAATAGAATACCCACAATGCACCACTAACCCGTATATATATAAATAGCCGAGAAAAATAACAGCATATGTGGCCTGACGATTGCATATAGCATGAAACAGACTGTCGCCTCTAAGTGTTGATTTCTATGTTCACTTTTATATTTACACACGCTCTATCTCTGATATTGAGCACTTTATTCCATAAATATAGCATACCTTAAGACTATATTTCTTTATATATATATATATATATATATGAAAGTATTATGATAAAAATGCACTAACAGATATTACTCAATAATCCTCACTCGAACAGTAATCCGTATAGTGATACTAATAGAGAAATAGTATAGTGAATAGAGTAGAGAATAGCGGTCCGTATAGTAATAGAGGATAGACTAGAAATAACGATCGATACTAGTCACGATACTTTCCATATATACTTTTCCTCTATGGTCATGTGGTCCTTTTGATTCAATAATAGGATCGCCTGTGTTTGCTCACTGGCGATCTATGTTCAAACTCAAGTGTCGCTGCCGACACTTTATTTCTATATATCAAGAATAAACATGAAAATAATCAAAATATTAAAAAAAAAAATGTTTAGTACAATCAAATATATATTTTTATTACCGGCTTATATTATAAAATTTATCTATTTATGAACGTCCATTTTTCTTTAAACTGCTATAATTAATAACGTAATACTTGACACTGTTGAGTGTACGATTTTCTATATTCTGTATTTTAATGTAGAGAATTTGTCACGTGACTTCTTGATATTATCTTCTGCTAGACGGAGCCATTTCATGGCCGAAGTGTTAAGCATACCAGCCTTGTAAAAAGCATATCTATCTATCTATCTATCTATCTATCTATCTATCTATCTATCTATCTATCTATCTATCACCACCGACGATAGTTGAACCTGGCCCGGGTGCATGTGTCACATCAAACAAGCATGCAGTGGTAAGGAAATACAAACGCTTCTCGGCCTTTTGACGAAGATAAATGTGTAGTATCTGTTCCGATTAGTTTAATCAGATTCTCTTTCACTCTCTCCACTTTATATTCCCATCTTTCACTGAAACCAAGTAACGTCATTTGCGCGATGAAAACGGAATAGCTCGTCATTTATGAATGCAGTGCGTAACGGTCATGCGAACTAATCTTCAGCTTATAATTACCCATTATTGCGAAACATTTTTTTCTAAAAGAGTAAATATCGTAGGCTGAACCCAAATAGCAAACTACAGGTCGGAACTCGAAATGAGGGTCGGGCGATTTAAAACGCGTAGGCGTGGTATTCTGACAGTGACACTTTATCTTTGTTTAAGTTTTGACCAAAAACATGCAAAGAGACAAGCACCATTATTGTGGTCTTTTCTATGTCAACAAATACGAGTTATTATATTCGAAAAAAGACCCCCCCCCCGCCGAGCATATTCTGTCAATATTGGTTGAAAGTAAAAAAAATATTTTATCAACTTACTTGTGATTATCACTGGCAAATTGGCTGGAAATAAAATATAGAAAATTGAAACGTGATGCATAAAAATTCAATTTCAATACGGAAAAACACAGACACAGACATTTAATTTATATGGGGGTTCAGGGTTGGCAGTTTTCTGAGGCCTTAATAAGGGCGCCTGTCATGAGATTTTTGGTGATCTTACTGGATAGTGGTCACGACTCTTCATACTGAGTTTTCCGGGTTGGCAGTTTTCTGAGGCCTTAATAAGGGCGCCTGTCATGAGATTTTTGGTGATCTTACTGGATAGTGGTCACGACTCTTCATACTGAGTTTTCCGGGTTGGCAGTTTTCTGAGGCCTTAATAAGGGCGCCTGTCATGAGATTTTATCTGACTGGATAGTGGTCACTGAGGGTTTCGGGTTGTTGCATCCTGACTGGTAGTTAGCCTGAACTCTTGACTAGTGTTTAAAGAGGCTGCTCTAATCAACAGTCGCATAATATTGGAGTTCTTTCTGTGACATATATCACATGGAATTATGTACCTGCAAGCACTTCCAGTCGGCAACCCCGATGCCACACTATGCTGTAGTTCCCACCATATTCCCAGCCTGTACATGTTATTTCTACTATTCTTGAAATTTGAGCTTCTATAATCCTGCTACTAAAAAGCTAAAAGTCAAAGTCAACTAAAGCAGCTCCTCAAAACACCAAAACACCTCCACCTTCTTCTCGAACATTCGTGGTATTCGTACCAATTTCTGCAATGTGGAATCGTTCCTCTTGGAACGTTCTCCGGACATCCGATCTTTATGTGAAACTGATCTGAATTCTTCAATCTCTTCCACTGAATTCTCTCTTCCTGGCTATCTTCCTCACTTTCAGAAGGACTCTGAAATCCACATGTGGTATTTTACGAAATAAAAATATCCTATATTGAGATTACTTCCAAACATACTGTTATTAGCATATGGCCGGGAAAAGAACATGAAGTGAAAAAAAGAATTTTGAAAAGGTGAATGTTTCTCGAATTAACAGTAAACCTTGAGTGACTCTTGGGACTTGTTTTGGGTAAGACTTAGAACCTGTACCTGTACTGAAAACCATAACTGAAAAAAATATCTGCAAATATCTTACGTGTTTTTTTGACTTCCTCAGGTGAGTCCCAGCTGAAGTTTTCCTTCGTGACTACCATAGACGTGTATGCTGTAACAAAACCATTCTGAAAAAAAAATATTAATAAAATATTCATAACAATCATCTTCAGATTATAATTACCCAGTATTGCAATTTTTTTCTTCTAAAAAGCAAATGTCATAGAATACGAAGGCTGACCCTAAATATCAAACTTTCTTCCTTCTGTCTTTTCTACAATCTCATGATCTAGTTGGCCGAATTTTCTTGCTTGATAAAATGTCTGAACATGGAATTGTTTTCGCCGTTTCTTTCTCCTGTTGTTCTTAATTTTATTGAAAGCATGTCTCCCAAGCCAACTATTTGGTGGGGCGGTGGATTGGCCGTTGGTCCCCCACCCCACCAGGTCGATGCTTGGACTTAAGGTAAGCCGTACATTCACTTGTTATCATGAGGAAGAAAGCGGACAAACACTCGCTGCCACGTATGTTGGCGCATTTATTATGACATAGCAATAAATCCGGATAACCTTATTTTTTTCAATTTCTTTTTTAGAATAGACAATGGGACTTATACTAAATTAAAACTTAATGTTGTGAAAGGGTAAAATGCAAGAGTCAACCAGGACTCTTTGCCAATTACCTCCCCCTCTTATCCTTCTCTCTGTTTTTGTCGTTCTTGTATGTGTTGTATGTAATAGGAGTAGGTAGGCTTTCCAACCGCCCGGTCAACACCCCTCCCCCTTCTCTTGGACATGAGTAGAGGCTTACGCCTTGTTTTTTGTTTAGGAAGGGGTTCCCGGTACCCTCTCTCTCTCTCTCTGGCCTCTGTATAAGTGCAGCTCTGTTTCCCCCGTGATGTGTGCAGTCTGTGGCATCACCTCTTCATTCTGAGGATACACAGTTGACAGTTCTCTGGTTGCTGTTTCCGACTGGTAGTTAGGAGCCCTAACTCTTGCGTAGCGTCTTGAGCAGCCGCTCTGATCAACATTTGTATAATACCGGGGTGTTTGTAGTGCCATGTCGCGTATGGAAAGATGTCCCTGCAGTTACCTCCGGTGGGCAACCCGGAGGCCACATTATGATGCAGGCTGTGCCAACTCCTCTCTGCCCACGTCACGGTCGATAACTGTCTGCTTCTTTTACTTCGGGCCTTCTCATCTTCCAACCAAAATTCCACATGACTTACAAAGACCGAAAAAGTAATCCTAAACCAGCCCTTCAAAAATCGCCTAAACCCCTCAATATTTCGTTCTCCAACATCCATGGCATTAGAACAAACTTCTGCAGTATGGAATCTTTCCTCACTGCAAACTGCCCGGATATACTCTCTCTCTGTGAGACCAACCTTGTCTCGCCTATCCCCTGCTCTGATCCCTCGATCCCAGGCTACCTTCCTCTGCTCAGAAAAGACTCTCTAACCCACATGCACGGCCTTGGTGTCTACTTCAAGGACCATCTACCTCTGGCCAGAGAGTTGTCACTCGAATCGCCAGACCAGTCGTACATGTGTTTCCGACTATCTCTTCTCAATGCGGTAAGCTATCTCTTCTTCCTTTACCGCTCTCCATCCTCTCAAAACTGTGGGATATTCGATAGCATTTCTGACAGCATAGACAAGGCTCTCTCCCTCCACCCGTTTGCTCACATATTTGTGTTTGGCGACTTTAACGCCCATTATACCATGTGGCTTAAGAATGCTACTACTGACCACGCAGGCATTCAAACGCTCAATTTTTCCGTCTCTCAATCCCTCTCGCAGATAGTTAACTTCCCCACTCATTTTGCCTTCAACCTGGAAGGTAAAGCCTCTCTTCTCGATCTGTGTTTTTCCTCCATCCCCGAGTCTTGTAGCGCCACACAACACTGCCCTTTTGGTAACTCTGATCATGCTGTTAACATCTCCTTCAACTCCACCCCCTTCAAAGAACCTCCTACCACTAGAACTTCGTGCTACTATCAACGAGCTGACTTGGACTCGTTCCGTGATTTCCCCCGGGATGTCCCCTGGGATGTTGTCTTTACGCTCCCCGTCCAAGAATGTGCTTCTGAGGTCTCATCCTGGGTTAAAGCTGGAATCGACTCTTTCATCCCCTCAAGGAAATATAGGGTCAAGTCGCGCTCCACCCCTTGGTTCTCTGCTGCTTGCTCATCCGCCATTGCCCATAGGAACCACTTCTTTCACGTATTTCGTAGCGACATGACTGATTGCAATAGACGTCACTTTGCCTCTGCCCGTAACGAGTGTAAGCGTGTCCTCAACGATACTAAGTCACTATTTGCTGCTCGGATGAAGGAGCGTATTGCATCTCGCAAATTTGGCTCCAAAGATTATTGGCGTCTCTGCAAGAGCGTATTGAACAATTGCAAACCCTCTATACCTCCTTTGTTCAACCAGTTCGAAGTCCTGACCTCCTCTGCCGACAAGGCTGAATGCATTGCTCGGAAATTTTAATTCAACTCAACGCTCGACTCTTCCGCTGTACCCATACACGACTTCCCTCTTAGAACTGAGGCCCTATTGAGTGGGTTACACATAACCCAGTCTTTGGTATTGGGCATTATCTCCAATTTAGACCCCAACAAGGCTAGTGGCGGAGATGGGATACCAGCCATTGTCTTGAAGAAATGCGCGCCTGAACTGGCGCCCGCCCTCTCTAAACTATATAACTACTGCCTCAAGGAATCTTGTTTTCCTGACTGCTGGAAGTCTTCTTCGATTGTTTCTGTCTTCAAGGACTCTGGCAACCCCTCTGACCCTTCTAACTACCGTCCTATCAGTCTCCTACCCCTCTTCGGCAAAGTCTTCGAAGCCCTAATCAGTACCGAAGTGGTTAATCACCTTACATCCCATGATCTGCTCTCAGACAAGCAATATGGCTTCCGCTTTGCCCGATCTACAGCTGATGTGCTTACGGCCATCGCTGAAACTGTCTACCAAGCTCTTCAAAATAACGGGGAAGCTCGTGCCATGGCCCTAGACATCTCCAAAGCGTTTGATTGGGTTTGGCATACCGGCCTTCTTCGCAAGCTCCAGGGTTATGGCATTACAGGTCGATTGTTTGACATAATACAATCATTCCAGTCAAACCGTAAATTGAAGGTCGTTCTCAACGGATTCTCCTCCAGTTCCTATCCCACGACCACAGGTGTTCCTCAAGGCTCCATCCTAGGCCACACACTATTCCTTATCTACATAAATGACCTTCCTGACGCCATAAGTTCCCAAGTTGGCATCTACGCGGATGACACCAAAATTTATTCCTGCCTCAAAAACAAATCTAGTGTCACTGACAAAACTAACTTGGCCGTGCGAAAAGGACCTCCAATCGGTTGTGAACTGGGGCAGGAATTGGCTGGTCAACTTTAATGCCTCAAGAACAAAACTGCTCTCTATTAATCACCACAGAGATCCTTCCCTGGCCTCCATTAGAATGTCTGACGCTCAACTTCTCGAGAGCACCTCTCTGCGGCTGCTCGGTCTCACGTTGACGGCTGACCTGTGATGGAACAAATACATTGAGTCAATTGCTTCGTCCACCGCAAGGAAAGTTGGCTCCCTGTGCCGCGCCAGGAAATTTTTCTCCCCGGAATCGATCCTCCAGAGGCGGATATGCAATATAATTGGCCCTGCTCTGGCATCTCGTCTACAGTCACTCTCTCACAGATGCGCCGTCGCCTCTCTCTATGTTTTTTACAAATACTTTCATGGCAATTGCTCCGAGGAGCTGCTTTCGCTGGTTCCCAGACTTCATGAATTTAAGCGTTCTACTAGGCTGGCATCCCGCTCTCACCCTTTCACTGTCGAAACTCCTAAATGTAGCCGTCTCTTCTACTCCAAAAGCTTCATGTCTCGCACCTCTCGTCTGTGGAACTCCCTTTCCTATTCCTGTTTTCCTGAGAGCTATAATCTCCAACTATTCAAATGTAATGTCAATCGACATCTCCAGTTGCCTTGATCTATCCGCAATCCTTCTCCTCATCCTTTCCTCTATCACGCCTACCTGATCTTGCTCGAAATCTTCTGTTACCCCTTGCGTCCTAGTGGCTTCTCGCTTTGCTTGGGGTGAAACGCCTAAAAAAAAAATTTTTTAAATTATTTGTAGAAAAGACAGAAGGAAGACACGTCACATCCGCAAGAAGTGGACCGATTACATTGCAGATCCTTCTTTCGATTTCTTCAAGAATCTTAATGTGTAGAAAAATTAACCTTCTCTATACTATTATTGAAATAAGGACTCGTCCAATTGCTCATGGAACAGTGGAAAAAATAACAGTTTGATTAAATCCCATAGATAAAAACCAAACTACTTACCTCGATTGTCAGGGTAATGATATCATTACGTGGTGCATTATGTTTAATCCTTTGTTTAAGGGTCACATACGCCGAAGTCTCTTTTTGTGATTCTTGGCAGCATTTCACACATGGTTAGATCTGGAAATTTTTGAACTTCCTGCTTATAAGAATATGCCAATCATTGACCAATTTTTATATTCCGAGGTTTTATCCACATGCCACTATTTACAACAATAAGTGAGAAGTGTTTTAAATTCGTCCAGTAATTTCTAAGAACCGCTGAAGATATTAAATCTTATCGGTGTCAGGAAACTCGGGTCTATTGTAGCATTCAAATAAGTTTCAATGAACCCTCGTCCAATATAAATATATCTACTGTTCCGTAACCTATTATTGGTACGGGAAGCACATTTATTGTCGACTTAGCAGCAGTTGTTTCTTAGGTAAGATAGCTTGACAGAGCGAAACCCTCTCCAGACAAATTTAAGTTTTCCTTCTCCTAGACTAGATACCAACCAAGACTGTTATGTTATTCCCCCATAGCTTCAAGGAGAAGAGATGAATTCTGTTGTGTATGAAGACTGTCTAACCTTCTTTAAATATTATTAAAAATTGGATTCGTGCATCTGCTATGATTACAATGTCCTTTTTCAAATTTATTGGGTGTTAGGTGATAAAAAAAATTCTCTAAAATGAAAAAGTAAAATATTAAACTGTTTTGTAGAAAGACTGTCTAAACTTCTAAACCATATTATAGAAAATTGAACTCGTGCATCGGCTATGTGTAGAACGCATGCTCATGGAACGGTTGTTAAAAATGGATGGCAAATGCGTAGCGCTTTCAGTCGTAGAGAACTCCAGTTTTCTCAAACCATGTTCTTAAATGATTTAATACTTTTTAATTCAATACTTTGTTTCCACTGTTTGTTTATAGTCTTACTAACCAGCGACTATGAGCGTTATATGGACTTTATAACATTCACTTATATTTTAATTGAATCCCACAGATAAAAAAAAAAGTCTTTTATGCTATTCACCTATATCTTCAGTGAGAAGAGATAAATTCTGTTGTGTATTCTTTAGAATATTATTAAGAAATGAATTCGTGGATCCGCTGTGATAGCAACGTCTTTTTTTTTTTAATTCATTGGATGTTTGGAGACTTGAGTTAAAGGGAAATAACTGTGACATGTGATAAAACTTCTCTAAAATAAAAAAAAATAAAATATTAAACTGTAGTTTAGAAAGACTGTCAACTCTTCTCTACCATATTATTGAAAATTATACTCGTGCATTCCCTTATCAGTACAACACCTGCTCATGGAACGGTAGCAAATGCGTAGCGCTTTCAATCGTAATGAACTTCTATGTTCTCAAGCCATGTTCTTATATGATTTATTCCTTAATTCAGTTCTTTGTTTCCACAGTTTGCTTATAGTGGACATGGGAAGAGCACTAATTAAGATGTGGTCATAGGTATATATCCTACAATAAAACACCGACAACACACTCATCTTATGTTTAATTTTTTTTTTCATAGGGCGGAAATCCCGGTAGCGTGACGGTAAGTGATATTTTATACCTCGTGTATAATGCGACCTCCTTAAAATTAGCTTCAAAATTAAGTCTTCAGTAGTCGCATGATACGCGAGTATATACGATAGATATCTTTTTCAGCCTATCAGTCTGTGGAATTATAAGCAGGTGTTGGTTTTCTTTACCTACCCAGACGAGACTGCCGGGTTTCTCTCTGCCTGAAAGCAGAGAATTTGACAAGTGTGTCATGAGCCTGGCAGCGAACTCCCTGACGTGGATCCAACTTATTTACCCAATGCTTTCCACAAGGCGCGATGTGGCACAAGGCCGGTTATTAAGTGGGGCGGTGCCGAGTCCGTATTCTCGGTCAAAAATTCCCCTTGGACCCCGCATAAACGGTGTCAGGTTTGTTTATCTTGAATTACTTCAGACGGCAAAAACTAGGTAGCAAAGTCGTAATGAACTCCTATGTTCTCAGTCCATGTTCTTTTAGGATTAAATCCTTCTTAATTCAATTTTATGTTTCCACAGTTTCCTTAGAGTGGACCTGGGAAGAGCACTAATTAAGACGTGGTCATACTGACAAAGGTATATATCCTACAATAAAACACCGACAACACACTCATCTTATGTTTAATGTGTCTTTTTATTCCAGTACAATGGCGATAAGTGCTTGATTTAGTCATTTCCTTTTTATTTTTAATTCATCGGATGTTAGGTGATAACAATGCTCTAAAATGATAGCCTGACGGAGCGGAACCAACTCCCGACAAATTTAACATTTCTTTCTCCTAGACTAGATGCCAACCAAGTACAACACCTGCTCATGGAACGGTAGCAAATGCGTAGCGCTTTCAGTCGTAATGAACTTCTATGTTCTCAATCCATGTTCTTAAATGATTAAATCCTTCTTAATTTAATTTTTGTTTCCACTGTTTGTTTATAGTCTTACTAACCAGCGACAATGAGCGTTATACGGACTTTATAACATTCACTCATTTTTTAACTGAATCAAACAGATAACCCCCACAAAAAAAAAATCAAACAAAAAAAACAAAACAAAAAAAAAAAAAAACTACTTACCTCGATTGCTAGAGTAACGATATCATCACGTGGTGCATTCTCTTCAATCATTTGTTTAAGTGTCACATACGCCCAAGTCTTTTTTGATATGTTTGGCAGCATTTCAAACCTGGTCAGATTCGGAAATTTGGGAGCTTCCGGCGTATAAATAAAATCCAGTTCATTGTCGAATCCTAAACTCTGCGTTTTTATCCACATACCGCTAGGACTTTCCCCCGATATTTGCAACACAATAATTCCTCCATTGTGAACTGTATTCTTAATTCGTCCAGCAATTGCTATCTCAGACCCTCTGAAGATAGTATTGAATGTTGTCGGTGTCAGGTATCTCGTATCTATTGTAGTATTCAAATAAGTTACCATCACATTCTTTAGCACAAGATCTGAAATTCTCTTAAACAAGTTTATAATCTGATTGCCACTGTCTATAGCATCGTAAATCTTTTGACTGAAACCGCCATTTTCAGAGGCTATATATTTTAGAAATTCAAGATCACAATCATTTCCAAATCCAAATGGGAATATCAGAACGTTTTCTTTATTAGCATTTTTGATATTTAATCTGATCTCTTCCTTGTTAGTGACGCCGGATGTTGGATCTCCGTCGGTCAAGAAAAATAAGATATTTACCGAATGGGGCCGTTTATTAAATCTATCCAAACTCTCAAGCATAGCTTTGTTCAGATCTGTCCCTGTAAAGAAAAAATGAATTATAAAAGCAGCAAATATTTTAATTCTAAAGAAGATTTAATAACAATAAGAAGAGAAACAGAAGCATCAATCATGATAGCATCACCAGACACAGCAAAAATAAAAGATAAATTTTAAAAATTGAAAAGATTTTCATATTAAAGAATGTGCAGTAATAACAAAAAGAGAAACAGAAGCATCTATCATGATAGCATCGCCACACACACACACACACACACAAAGCCAAAGTAAATTATACATTTTAGGAATTGAAATGATTTTCATTTTAAAGAATTGTCAGTAAAAATAAAAAGAGAGACAGAAGCATCTATCATGGTAGCATCACCACACATAAAGATCAAATGTAAAATATACATTTTAGAAATTTCAAAGATTTTAATTTCAAAGAATGTTCAGTAACAATAAAAAAAAAAAAAACATGGACTCGTCTATTCGCTATGGGTAGAACGCCTGCTCATGGAACAGTGTCAAAAAGTGGGTAGAACGCCTGCTCATGGAACAGTGTCAAAAAGTGGGTAGAAAAGGGTTAGCGCTTTCAGCCGTACAACGGCCGAAACTTTGTGAATATGGCAATGAGGATGAGGATAACAATCTGAATAAAGTAAATAACGGGTTTTTTGGAGTCTAGTTTGACTGAAGGGAAACGGAAGAATAAAAGAATGGTTGGGGGCTTTTGGAGACCAATGGCAACAGTTAGCATCACCAGACACAAAGAGCAAAAATGAAAGATAAATTTCAAAGAATGATCAGTAACATTAAAAAGAAAACATGGACTGGTCCATTTAGTCGAAAGCCTGCTCATGGATCAGTGTCTAAAAAGGGGTCGCACTTTCAGTCGTACAACGGCTGAAATGTTGTGATTGAGTAATGCATTTTTGTGCAATTATTATAACGAGTGGAGAGTTCGATACTCACTGGGTGCCCCTACTTTTAGCCTTGTGCCACATCTAAGCTACGCTTGGAAAATCACTATATGAGAACACAAATTGTTTATTCTAAAATCGGACATTGCCTTCTGTTGTGTTGAAAGACTAACCTTCTTTACACTTTTATTGAAACATGGACCCATCCATCCGCTATAGGTAGAACACCTGCTCATGGAACAGTGGCAAAAACTGGGTAGCAAAGTGCGTAGCGCTTTCAGTCGTAATGAACTCCTGTGTTCTCAGTCCATGTTCTTATAGGATTAACTCCTTAATTCTTTGTTTCCACCGTTTCCTTAGAGTGGACCTGGGAAGAGCACTATATATATATATATATATATATATATATATATATATATATATATATATATATATATATATATATATATATATATATATATATATAAATAAATTAAAGACATTGTTAGATCAGCTGACTAGACCCAAAGAGTTGTGAGTTCAGTCCCAGGCCACAGCAGTGTTGAACCAAAACTTTGAGAGTTGAGTTAAAGGAAAATAACTATGACATGTGATAAAACTTCTCTAAAATAAAAAAGTAAAATATTAAACTGTTTTATAGAAAGACTACCTAAACTTCTCTACCATATTATTGAAAATTATACTCGTGCATTCCCTTATCCTTACAACACCTGCTCATGGAACTGTAGCAAATGCGTAGCGCTTTCAGTCGTAATGAACTCCTATGTTCTCAAGCCATGTTCTTATATGATTAAATCCTTAATTCAACTCTGTGCCGCGCCAGGAAATTTTTTCCCCGCAATCGATACTTCAAATATACAAATCAACCATTCGCCCTTGCATGGAGTATTGCTGCCATATATGGTCTGGGGCACCGTCTGTTTACCTCGGAGTTCTTGACAAGATCCAGAGACGGATATGCAATATAATTGGCCCTGATCTGGCGTCTCGTCTACAGTCACTCTCTCACAGACGCGCCGTCGCCTCTCTCTGTCTTTTCTACAAATACTTTCATGGTAATTGCTCCGATGAGCTGCTTTCACTGGTTCCCAGACTTCATGAATTCAAGCACCGTACGAGGCTGGCAACCCGCTCCCACCATTACACTGTAGAAACTTTTAAATGTAGTCGTCTCTTCTACTCCAATAGCTTCATACCTCGAACCTCTCGCCTGTGGAACACCCTTCCCAATTACTGTTTCCCTGAAAGCTATAATCTCCAGCTATTCAAATGTAATGTCAATCGACATCTCCAGTTACCTTGATCTATCCACTATCCTTCTCCTCATCCTTTCTTCTATCACTCCTATCTGCTCTTACTCCCAATCTTCTGCAACCCCTTGCATCCTAGTGGCTTCACGCTTTACTCGGGGCGTAATGCTTAAAAAAAAGAAAACAAAAGTTTCCTAATAGTGCACCTGGGAAGAGCACTAATTAAGATGTGGTCATACTGACCTACAATAAAACTCCGACAACACACTCATCTTATGTTTAATTTTTTTTTTAAAGTGATATTTTATACCTTGTGTATAATGCGACCTCCTTAAAATTAGCTTCAAAATTAGGTCTTCAGTAGTTGCATGATACGCGAGTATATACGATACTTATCTTTTTCAGCCTGTCAGTCTTCGACCACTTATGTGGAATTTTAAGCAGATGTTGGTTTTGTTTACTTACCCAGACGAGACTCTGAACGGAGGTATAGCCTCGTCAGGGTTTCTCTCTGCCTGAAAGCAGAGAATTCGACAAGTGTGTCACGAGCCAGGCAGCGAATTGCCTGATGTGTGTCCAACTTATTTACCCAATGCTCCCCAAAAGGCGCGATGTGACACAAGGCCAGTTACTAAGTGGGGCGGTGCCGAATCCGTATTCTCGGTCAAAAATTCCCCTGTGACCCCGCATAAACGGTCTTGAATTACTGAAGTTTATATGATTTGCCTAATAACTTCAGACACGGTGGAGTAACATTTCTTATCACCCAGCCATCGTAATTTTGAAGAGAAACAAATTTGCATCATTTTAATAACTGTTTTGTCACGATATCTAGTTTCAAAATGGTTTCATATGAATGTTGCCCTTGCTTGTCACGCAATCCTCTGAATTCTGAATAGAAATGGATTTACCGTAATTCCCCCATGTATGATACGCATCTTTTTCTAAAAAGTATGAAGCAAAATCAGGAGTGCGTATTATGCACAGCTACAAAAAAAATCTTTAAAAATTGCCATAAAATAAAATAAGAATTATCATAAAAGTAAATTAGAATAATATTATTCTATGTTTAAAAGCAATTTTAAAAAAAAATAAGTGACGCTGGCCGTAATGAAATTGGAGAGATACAGTTGATAGGGTTTGATTAACAAACAAGAGGTGCGTATTATGCGTTAGTAGAAGCATTTTCCCACACATTCAGCACAATTTTAGGGGTGCGTATTATGGATAAAACGTATTATACATGAAGAATTACGGTACTTAAGTTGATATTATAACTTACTATTGTTAGGTTCTAGTTATAACATAGATAGATAGATAGATAGATATAGATAGATAGATAGATATAGATAGATAGAGATAAATATAGATAGAGAGATAAATGGATATAGATAGATAGAGATAGATATATATATATAAAAATAGAGATAGATAAATAAGGATAGATATAGATAGAAATAGAGATAGATAGATAGATCCTGACAGACAATTGGTATAACTTAATTCGCATAATTTTACGTGTGTGTATTATACATGGGGAATTATGGTACTTAAGTTGATATTATAAATTACTATTGTAAGTTTCTAGTTATAACACATATAGGTTCTAGTTATTAGATAGATAGATAGATAGATAGATAGATAGATAGATGTTCTAATGAGCTCTGTTTTGGTTAATTATATATATATATATATATATATATATATATATATATATATATATATATATATATATATATATATATATATATATATATATATATATAGATATGAACAGATTGACTTAGATAGATAGATAGACAGACAGACAAACAGACAATTGGTATAACTTAATTCGCATAAGTATTCGCTATACGTAATGCTAAGGTTACTTACCGTAACGCTAGTATATAGTTAGTATGAAGACAGACTCCAAAGCAATTGGTATTTATCTAATTCTTCCCACAAGGAGGAATGTGGAAGAAAGGCCGGTTTTTAGGTGGGGGTGATCCCGAGGCCGTCGTCTCACTCAAAAATTCCCGTTAGACCCCGCATACACGGTGTCGGGTTTGTTTACCCACCCAGACGAGACTCTACCCGTAGGCATAGCCTCGTTTAGGTTACTATCTGTCTGAAAAGCAGAAAGTTCAACAAGTGTGTCACGAGCCTAGCAGCGAATTGCTTGATGTGAGTGCAACTGGTATATATCCAATCCTCCCCACAAGGTGGGATGTGCACAAGATCGCAAGCATATACGGTAATTCATTTTATATAATATTTGTTATTTCATCTGATCGCA